CACCGGGTGAGGAAAACTAACATATCAATTGACCCGATTGACTATTCTCGTCAAAATAAGAAAGATGAATGTCTCATACAGTCTTAAACTGAGAATAAAGGCAAGGATATGCGTATTGGGACTGAGGAGGACGTTGACGATGAAGCTAATGCTACCGAGGTTGAAGGGATAACAATGAAGCTATGGATGATGAGTGGAACGACCAAGAAGGGAATGAGGAGTGGGAGGATCACTACAACATTGAAGTTGGTAATGTTTTGGCCCCCAATGAGGAAGTTGGCCCAATCACATTTGAGGACGAGCAGGGTCCTATTAATATTAACAAGAATTAATGAAAATTCTAATGTGGAATGTAAGAGGAGCAGATAAGCTCTAACTTAGATGGCAAGTTTAGGAACTAATTAGAATCTATAATCCTGGTATATGTTTTTTGATGGAGATTCGAGTTAACCCTATTATAGCAAGGAAAATTGTCAGTTCATTTAGGTTTGATAAAAATCATTTAGTTGAGTTTATTGGTTTTGATGGGGGTCTTTGGGTGATGTGGGGCTCATCTTTGTGCTTTGTTAATGTTATATCCAATGATCATTTAGTGCATACCTTTATCATTGATTTGAATTCCAATAAGTCTTGGTTTAATACGTTCATTTATGCCCCGCCCCCTTGTAAAACTGAACAGAATATGGTCTGGAATTGGCTAAAGGATATTTTTGATAATACCAATGGGACGTGGTACCTAATAGGCGATTTTAACTCCATTAGGAGTAATGAAAAAAAAAAAATGTGGTTGAAAAGTTTACCCTCACCATATTAGAGAATTTAATCAAATGGTAGATTATTGTAATTTAATCGATACGGAGATGGAGGGTTCTCAATTTACTTGGAAAAACAGTTCAACCAAAGTGAGAATTGATTGGGTTCTTATTAATGCTGATTGGAGATGTGAATTTACATCAAGTAGATTGTTAAACCTCCCCTTCTTGGCATTGGATCATACTCTTCTTGTCCTTGACACCACCTCCAATGGGCCCAAGGGCCCGAAGCCTTTTCATTTTGAGGCCATGTGGTGTTTAGATCCTAGTATTGATGAAGTGATAAGGAAAGCTTGGAACATTGAGGTTAGTGGTACTAGAGCATTCCAATTTAATAAAAAGAGAGAATCTTGTTAAAGAATTCAAACAATGGAATAGATATCATTTTGGGAATATTAAAAAGGAAAAAGAGGAAATTATCAAAAATCTTCAAAATGTCCAAGAGCAGTTGGAGGGTGATCCAAACAATGTGGCACTTATCAATAAAGAAAAAGCTCTCCCAAAACTCCTGAACATCACCCTCTCGTGTGAAGGGGTTTTTTGGGCCCAAAAATCGAGAGTTGATTAGCCCAAGCTTGGGGACAAGAATAACAATTTTTTCATACTATTGCTACCATTAGAAGGAATAGAGATAAAATTAGAAAAATAAAGGATGAGAACAACGATTGGATTGAAAATGAGGAAGACATTAAAGATTTTTTTTGTAGGAATTTTGAAGAGAGATTTAAATATAAAGGAACTAGTGAGGTGGATAGCTTCATTTCCAATATTGATCATTGTGCTTCTGAGGAAATTAATAATAAATTATGTCAGGAAGTTACAAATGAGGAAATCTATAATACCCTCCTCTTTATGAAAGAGTTGAAGGCCCCTAGTCCAGATGGTCTTAATGTCTTATTTTTTAAGAAATTTTGGACTATTATTGGGGACTTGGTGTGTAAAACTATAAAGGCCTTATTCCATTATGGGAAAATGAATCAGAATTTAAATAAAACATTTATCACCCTTATCCCTAAATGTGAGAATCCTGAAAGTATCAACAATTACAGACCCATTAGTTTATGCAATGTGGTCTTCAAAATCATTTCAAAGATTTTAGTGAACTGTATCAAGCCATTTCTAGATGGTATAATTTCCCCTTACCAGAGTTCCTTTGTGCCCACCAGGCAAATTACTGACAATATTATTATAGCTCACGAGATGTTACATACCATGAAAAAGAAGAAAGGTAAGATGGGCATTATGACTTGCAAGATTGATATGGATAAATCTTATGATAGATTAGAATGGGATTTTATTGAAAAAGTATTAAATAAATTTTATTTTCACAAAAAGATTGATTAATTGGGTAATGGAATGTATAAAATATGTTTCATTTCAAATTCTAATTAATGGATCTCCCACTAGATTAGTGAAAGCCAGTAGGGGCATTAGATAGGGTGGTCCTCTTTCTCTGTATATTTTTGTGTTATGTACTGAAGCGCTCTTTAAGAAATTAGAGGAGGAATCCTTAAATGGGGAAAAGCTAATTAGTTGTAAGGCTTCTCGAGGTGGTCTGACCATCCCTATCCTCTAATTTGCTGATGATTGCATTATCTTTGCCAAAGGCTCAATTGATGAATTTCTCAAAATTAAAGAAATCCTTGACAAGTTAGCCATTACTTCGGGTCAAATCCCAAATTTCTCAAAATCAGTTATTAGATTCTCTGAAAATATTCCTAATAGACACCCAAAGATTATGTCTGGGATTCTCAAAATTCCCGTTGAGATTAAAAACAAAAAGTATCTGGGTGCTCCCATTATTTCAGGTAGGGTGTCTAAGGAGGACTTTAAATTCCTTTGTGAGAAAATGACTAGGAAACTTGCAAGATGGAAAAAGAACACTCTTTCACTTGCGGGTAAGCTAACCCTAATTAACACTTCAACTTACATGATCCCTTAATTTGTGATGCAATCTTTAATTTAAAATCCCCATTAATGTTATCAATGATTTGGAGAAAGCTCAAGAGAGTTTATTTGGTCAAAGTCAAGATCTCAAAGTCCTATCCACCTTGTGAACTGGAAGAAAGTGTGTACTTCCAAAGATCAAGGGGGTTTAGGTTTAAAAAATCTTCAATGGATCAATAAGGCCAAGTTGGGGTGGAAAATTATTAACAACCCACAATCTTTGGGTAAGAAAAATGAGGTGCAAATACTTGTCCACTTGCAATTTTTGGGAAGTTGAATTAAAAAAGGGTATCTCTTAGGCTTGGAGAGGAATTCTTGATTCAAGGGATTTGATTAAAAGAGGAATGAGGTGGCATATTGGTTATGGAAATTTGGTCAAATTCTAGAAGGACATGTCGGCTAGAAATACCTCTATTTTAGATGATGTCAACCCAGATAGTATCCCAAATTTGAAGATGCTGGTTAGTAGTGTGATTGATCAGGATAAAAAGGTTTGGAAGGAATATCTCATTAGATCTTTGGTGTCCGATTCTGTGTGGCACCGTATTAAACCCATCTTAATGTCCTCTAATAATTTGGAGGATAAGATAATTTGGAAGTTTACTCTGGATGGCAAATTCTCTGTTAGGACAACCTATAATGAAGAATGTAGTATTAAAGTTTTTCTCTTTCTTCTCCTTAGTGCCAAATTGCCCACGAAGAACAAGCTTATTGTAAGAGGTCTTAATATTAATCCATATTGTGATCTTTGTAGTAAGTAGAAGAATACTGACCATTTGTTCATTAAATGTAATTTTACTGAATAGATTTGGATGCTTGTCAACACAGTGCTCCCAATTCCTAATGGTAATGATGAGTCGGTTAATGCTTGGTGTGATAGAATTTCTAAAGATCAAGGTTCCAATATTGATAAGTTGTTTAGAGAGAAGATAGCGTTTATACTTTGGTTTATTTGGAAAATAGAAATGAGAAGTGCTTTGGTAATTAGTCATCTCCTCAAATTATCATGATAGAGCATTTGACTATTGGAATGAGTTCAAGAATAATTCAATAACTGAAGTCAAGGAGAAGTTGAAAGTTTGGAAGTTGATTATATTGGACCTACCCTAAACCCAACTCCATTAAAATTAACTTTGATGTTTCTCATAGACAGAATGGGTGGTGTTCTATTGCGTGCATTGCTAGGAACCATCTTGGTGCTCTTCTCAATCTTATGGCATACTACATCGATTACTCGACTATTAATTTAACTGAAGCTTGGGCGGCATGGGAAGCTGTTAACATGGCATCTAACTTTAGTGACTCCCCTATCTTAATTGAAGGTGATTCGAAGCTCGTGATCAGCTACCTCAAAAGGAAAGTGCAACCTCCATTAAATCTAGAAAGCACCATCAATGAGAGACTCGACATTGCATTGGAGATCAGACATGTGTATCAAGAAGCAAATCAAGCTGCAAACTGGTTTGCCAAGAATGCTCCATTTAGGGGCCCATTTAATGCTGATTGTATTTTGTTTAGTCTTAGTGTAATTTGCTTTTCTAATTCTTGGGAAAGAGCTACCCCGTCTTGTGTAACTCTTCGTTTTTCTTATCTATTATATAAAAAAAGTATAGGGATTTTGTCACTAACCTCATAATAATACAAGGGGCTCTTTGTAATTTATCTTTTTTAGGGTAAATTACAAAGACCCCCTATATTATGGGGTCTGTGACAAAGACCCCTTGTACTTTGTTTTGTGACAAAAACCCCATTGTATTATGACTGTGACACAAAGACCCCCTTTCATTAGTTTTTCGTTGAAATCCACCATTATAATATTTTTTAATCCCCATACTATCCTTGTAATAACTATTTAAACAATTGAGAAAAAAACACTGTTCATCTTCACATTTCTCTCTCTCTTTCTCTCACTCCCTCTCTCTTCCTCTCTTTCTCTCCCCTAATCTCTCTTCTTCCCCTTCCTCTTTCTCTCTTCCCCTTTCTTCTTCCCCCTTTTCTCTGTTTTTCGTTACTCTCGGCCATAGCTGCCACAGGCCCACAAATGACAGCTTAGTTGTTACGTGTTCATCTTTCGAGGACGCGTGGCCTCTCATCAACCAAGAAAGTTTTGGGAGAAAATGGTCCCATTCATGATTTCATGGTTAATGATAAGGCCACGCCTCTTTAAGTTTTTCTTTTATTTACTTTTCAAATGTACTGACTTTGACATCCACAGTAAATAGGAATATAGGATCGATTCCTCTTTCCTATTCTTGGTGGAAGTCAACTTGTTACCATACCGTCACCCATGATGTATCGAGGGAGGATTCGAATTTTATATAGCTCAGAGGGTTTAGGGTTTAACCTCTTTCTCAACCAACAGTCAACACCATTACCAGCGGCAACACAACCCTAGCGACGACAACTACCACGATCACTAGAAACCCTAAAGAGATCAACATGGTTTCCTCTGGTACTGAAATCCTGGATAATTTATCCCTTGCAACTTCTAATGCTTCATCTGAAACCATTAACCTCAAAAATCAAGTCCCAAAACAGGTCTCAGAACCCTCTATCCACAACGAAACCCTGGAAGGTCAAAACCCATAAGTTTTGCATGTCCCTAGAAGCAAAGGAGAAGGCAAAGAGGAAGAAGAAGAAGGTGAAGATGATGAGGGAGAATGTGGCCACGCCGACTACTATGAACCAATACTTCAGGCGGAGAAGGCCATGGAGGAAGAGGCGGCCAAGGAATTGGAGCGAGAATCAGATCGAGAAACCGCACCGAAGGAGGATAAACAGGAAAGCTAGAGGGTTTTTTTTTTTTTTTTAATTCATGTTTTATTCCCAAATTTTGGATATTCATAATGACAACATCTTGAGCAAGCTAAAGTGAAGAAAATTTAGGGGGAGTTTCGGCGGTGTTAGATTATTAGATCTTTATTGAGGTAACTAAAACTATAGAGATCCCGAGCCTTTCAAGGTTTTGGCTAAGTGAAACAATGGAGCAGGCCTTGTAGTCTATTTTCAACAACCGAATTAGCCTCTGCAACGAGTTGCCACGGCTTTGGCTGAGAGTAATGGAAAACAGAGGAAAGCGGGAAGAATAAAGGATAGTATGGAGATTACAAAATAATTATTACAAGGATAGTATGGAGATTACAAAATATTGTAACGGCGGATTTTAACGGAAAGCTAACTGAAGGGGGTTTTTGTCTCACGGTTGTAATTTACCCTATTTTTTTACAGGCAATCAACTATTTCTATCTTTTAGGCGAATTAATCGAAATTCGAAGTGCGAACTCAAAAATGCTGCAGGGAATCAGCAGATTGGTGATTTGGAGTTCGATTTATTATAGAGACGATATGGGTTTCTCGATTTCAAGTTTTCTCTCAGCCCCATATGAGTTGGGTTGCAGGCGCTGTTGAAATTCCTGCCGGAATTAGGAAGCTCAGAAAAAAAGGAAGGACCGAAGGAGAGGCCCTGGCCATTGATATCGGTGGAGTGAATGCTGGAAGTAATTATTAGACTGCTATTGATTTGTGTCTTCTTGTTGAACTCAACGTACTGTTTATCGTTGTCGATGAGAGGCTATGGCAAAGCAAACCCAAACCATATTTCTTGAAGAATGGCTGAAGAGCAATAGCAGTAGTGGCAGCAGTAGGCCGTCTCCTCCTTCATCTGCTCGAGCCATCATTCAAGCATGGGCTGAACTCAGAGACGCCCTTCAACACCAAACCTTCCAATCTAACCACATCTTATCACTCCAAACCCTCCTTAACTCCCAAACCTCTCTGCACGTCGCCGACCCGCAGGCAAAGCTTCTGCTCTCCATTCTCTCCTCTCCCCATATATCTCTCCCTCAGGAATCCCATCCCCTCTTTCTCAGGCTCCTCTACATCTGGGCCAGGAAGTCCTCCAAACCCTCTCCGTCTCTCGTTGAGTCAACTGTTTCTTTTCTCTCCCGTTTTCTCTCTGCCCAGTTCGATAGTGAGAAGAGTTATTCGGTCGTCTGCGAAGCTATTCTGCTTCTGGGTGCCTTGTCTTTGGTGCCTGTATTGTCTAGAAGCTCTAAAGGAGTCTGCTTGGAGCTTTTATGTAAGCTGTTGGAAGATGAATACCGAGTTATCAGGTCGAGAGAGGAACTTGTCCCTGAGGTTCTTGCTGGAATTGGGTACACTCTATCTTCTACTGATTCTGCTCATTTTGGTAAAATCTTGGATTCTCTGTTTGGCATTTGGAATAAGAATGGTGGTCCTTGTAGTCATCTTTCCCACGGTCTTATCATTCTGCATTTGATGGAATGGGTGGTTTCTGGTTCCATTAGTTCACGGAATTGGAGGAAAATTGAATTTCTTTGCCGAGAGATTTTTGGGATCTCTCACCCAAATTATGCTCCGTTTGCAGTGGTCATGGCTGCAGCTGGAGTATTGAGGGCTTTCAACAGGGCCGTTTCTAGTGGTAATAGGCTGGAGATCAGTGCGCAACACAGGGTTTCTGCTGAAGAATGCATTGAAGTTTTAGCTAGAAATTTGGTCTCTAAAACAGGGGATCTCCTAGACACGACTGTTGATCCTAACAACCGTCTCCTCATACAATGTATCTCCTTGGGATTGTCTCGAAGTGGTTCAGTTTCTTTCCGTGCCCCTCTTCTTTTGTGTCTTGCATCTGCGCTGCTGATTGAGGTATTCCCTTTACGATATTTCTATGCAAAGATCGCTGAATATCCACCTGGTTATCCTGCTGGACTAAGGTTTAGTGAGATTAAAGAACATCTGAATGGCGTTCTTTTTAAGGAAGCAGGTGCAATAACTGGTGTCTTTTGCAACCAATATTCATCTGCAGATGAAGAGACCAAGAGGGTTGTGGAGAATCTTATATGGAGCTACTGCCATGATATGTACTCAGGGCACCGACAGGTTAAGTTGGTGCTTCGAAGTAAAGGAAAGGAGTTGATTGATGATCTAGAGAAAATTGCTGAGGCCGCTTTCCTTATGGTTGTGGTCTTTGCGTCAGTAGTTACAAAACACCATTTAAAATCAAAACTTCCCCTGGAAGCACAAATAGAGGCTTCAGTCAAGATACTGGTTTCATTCTCTTGTGTGGAGTACTTCAGGCGTATACGGTTAGCAGAATATACTGATACAATCCGAGCAGTTGTCAAAACTGTTCAGGAGTATGATTCTGCTTGTGTCTCTTTTGTTGGCTCAATGCCGTCTTATGTTGATTTGACAAATCAAAAAGGTATCCAATTCAACCATGCTTTAAATCTTTACTAATTCTAGCATTTCTTTGTAGGAGGATAATAAAATGAGTTCTCTCCATTCATTTCATCTTAGTAAGAGTAGTAACTATCCAAGTGCTGAACCTTGTCATATTGTAGGCTCTTCTTTCTTGGGGAAAATGGAATATATTTGGTTGAAGGATGATGTGCAGACTGCTCGCATCTTATTTTATCTGCGGGTTATCCCTACGTGCATGGAACGTGTTCCTGTTCTATTGTTCAGGAAATTGGTAGCTCCAGCCATGTTCTTGTATCCTTCACTGATACCATTATAAGATTCCAAAGTAAGGAGAATCTGTTCTAAATCTTGGCTTAGTATTTTAGTTCCTTAACATGAACAAAATCAGATATATGGGACATCATAATGGAAAAGTAGCTCGGGCTTCACATTCAGTTTTTGTGGCTTTTGTATCCTCTCGGAAGGATTCTAATCAGGATGATAGAACGTCAACAAAGGAGCAGCTTGTTTTCTATTACATTCAGAGATCTCTAGAGGTACATAAAATTAGTAGTAATCCTCTTGATATTCAGAGGCCAGTTGCTGAGTCTTTTCCTTCAATGAGTGTAGGCATATCCTGCGATCACCCCTTTCGAAGGAATGGCTGCTGGTGTCGCTGCCTTAGTTCGGCATCTTCCTGGTGGAAGTCCATCGATATTTTACTGTATCCATAGTCTTGTTGAGAAAGCTTATAGTCTCTGTAGAGAAGCCTTGGTTGAGGATGCTAACATATGGAAGAATTGGCAAGGAGATTCGGAGTCCTGTAAGAAGGTTCTTGAGTTGCTTCTGCGCCTCATTTCTCTAGTGGATATACAGGTATCTAATACTTTTACTTACCAATTTATGTATGATTTCTGATGATGAACTTTAACGATTATAAATTGTCATCATCTCCATCATCATCACTATCATTGTAAACCATGTGCCCCCATTTATATATGCCTATTTTTCTTCCATGCCTTAAATTTTTTCCTTGTTAGAATAATCAATTAACTGTCTGGAGCACTGATCTAATTTCTTAACCATATGCCAAAAAAATTGTTAAGATAGCAGGGATGCCTGTTGTCAACGTTAAGCTAGATTTTCAAATACCAATAAATAATTGGAAGATTACTTAAAAGTAGAAGATATAGTGGAGCTGCATATCGTTTGTTTTTTTTATATGTTGCTAACAACATATTCTTCTAATTTGGCTCAGGTGCTACCGAACCTAATGAAGCTGTTATCACAGTTTATTGTCCAACTGCCAAAAGATGGACAAGACATGGTACTTGGTGAGATATATTCACAGGTTGCAGAGTCCGATGATGTTACTCGGAAACCAACTTTAGTTTCATGGCTACAGTCTCTTTCTTACCTATGTTCTGAAGCTAGTAATAGTACTGCAACCACTAGAGGGATAGAAAGTGAAGTAAACTACACTGACAGGAACACAGACACCTTAAGCTTGAATAGGATCAGTTCACGATTGTGAAACATTTGGGTTCATTTTGCCGATAAGACATTGTACCATAAGATGACACATTGAAGAAAGATCAGTTGAATGGAAATGCTTGTAAGATTTGTGATTTTATGTGTTAATTTAGTTATACAATTGATGAATCTTATTACCTTATATAAAAGGGAAAATTTGCCTATTTCTATAAAGGCAGATTTTCTTTGATAAAAAAGACGGTATTTTTCCCCTTAATTAGTAATAAAAAATAATAGGAATAAGGATAGGAGGTTTTTACTCTTTTTTCCTACCCTTGCTCCACCAATTGCTTCTAATTTTGTTTCCATATTTATTTTAGGGGATGAAAAACTCGGAAGCTACAAATCTTATTGTCTTATATAAAGGGAGAGTTCATATGTTTTTGCTGAGGCAGGTCCCAGTTCATACTTAACAGTTGACCAAGTTAATTGCCTTTTGCTCTACTGGTTGTTTCATATTTATTTTAAGAAATGGAAAGATCAGTAGAAAGAAAGGGGATGTTTTTTTCAAGTAAATAACTATAATTTGACCTATGTACATAAAAATTCATTTGTTTTGCAATAACTACTAATAAATTGATGTTTTTTTTTCTAGGCAAACTTGGGGTTGAGGGTTGTTGGAGTGATCAAACTATACTAGGTGTGTCAAATGGGGGTTATTTGGGAAGAAAACATATAATCAGGGATTTCAATGTAATATTTTCTCTATGGGACTCAAACTACACATGCCCAAGATGAAAATCCATAGGTATATTTGGCTTTTATTGCTTTGACCAACACATTAACTCGTAAAACTAGCAGACTTCGTAGCATTTGAAACAACCTCATTATCTAAAATGTAAAGTCCATTGACCATGCAGCCTCTACCAATCATTCTCCCTAAGGTGAAATCATGGGAAATATAGGAATTAGGGAGAAAAGTTACACAACAATTTAATGATCTTGTATTGTTGCTAATAGAAAGATTGATGGGCAAGTTTCACTACTAGAAAGTACATATTCAGAGGCTATGATGTAGTGGCAGTTGAAAAAAATGCCAATATTAGAGAAAGAAGATAGCACTCTTACATCAACAATGGGGAAAGGAGGTTTTGAGGCTGCTACGAAGTAAAGATTGAGGCAAAGACTTTTCTGATCGAGGAGAATAGAATCAGAGGAAAAGTGTTTCTGAGGGTCAGAGAAGGAAGGAGAGCAAATGTCTTCTTGGAAAGCAACATGGCAAGATGGTTTAAAGGGTTGATAGATGGAGTGATCCAGTTGGTGAAAATGCCAGGGTGGAAGAACACACTGAAGATGGAAGGAAAGGCTTTTCTAGGTGGAACAGAAAAATAACCTAAAGGGCTGGTTTCTGACGTTAACAGAACAGTATGGTTATGGTTGAAGACAACTTACTTGGAGATGGATGGAATGCTATAGTAGAACTCCTATAAGAGTATCTAACATGGTATGATGTGACACTGGAAGAGGAGGAAAACCAGCAGAAATTAGGAGGAAGTGATGCAGAAAAAGGTAGAGATCAGAAGAGAGAGGAAGGAATTGGAGATACCATTGGCATGCTTATGATGGCTCCAAAGATGGCTGTGAGTGGAGGAAAGGTAGCCTGGGAGAAAAAGATGGTAGTGCTGACCAAGAATGAAGTAAGGGACTGGCGGGTAATCCTGGACGTGGTAGCAAGCAAACTAGAATTGAAAGAGGCAGCAATCCTCATGCCTTTCAAACCAAATAGAGTGATTTTGGACACTGGGATTACCCAACCCAGTTTTTGCACACTAGGGACTAGTAAAGGCCTGGTTATGGTGGAAATCCTTCCTTTATGCTTTTTTCCTGGGTCTATTAACATTCTCACCATCAAGTATAAGAAGCCTTGACAGCACCAAAGCATAGTTGTCAAGGCGCCTAGGTGTTGGAATTTGAAAGTATAAAACAAAGATCCCTAACCCTTCTTAAGCTACTGTTTTAGTTTTTTATACTGACCAACATGCTGTATACTGGTTATTAGCAATAAATTCATTCAAATAAAACATAAAATTCCATCATATACATCATACCTGTTTCAGGCCAACAAAAAAGGAGGAATGTAGCAAAAAAAAGAGAAATATAAGGGGTCAGAGCCCCTGTTTTGTTCCCAAAAAAGATTTCTTAAAAAAGAAAAAAAAAACATAGGAGTTAGAGGACATGGAGCAAAAAAGAAAAATAGGAGTAAGAGGCTTGAACTGTGTTTAAGGTGGCAGAGGCCCTGTTTCAGGCTAATAAAAAGGGAGAGTGCTGCGAAAAAAGGAGAGAAAAATAAAGGGACAGAGCCCCTGTTTCGTCAAAAAAAAAGCATTATTAAAAAATAGTACAAAAAAATACAGGAAAGTTTTAGAAAGTTGGGGTGCAGCCCCTGTTTAAGAAGAAGAAGAAGAAGGGGGCGGAACTCCTGTTTCGTTTCCAAAAGTTTTTATTTTTTTTAAATAGAAAATAAAATACTGGAGTACCAGGTTGATTTGAGGAAGGAGGGAGGAGGAGGAGGTTGAAGAGGTGAAGAAGAAAGTTTTGGAAATATCATATGGAAATATTGCAAAATTATAGTCATGGTGTAAACTGTTTTCTTTCTAGAAGAGAGAGGAGAGAGGGGAGGAGAGAAGAGAGAAGAGAAGAGAAGTGGAGAGGAAGAAAAGTGTTTGAGAGTCAATAGGTTGGGCTGGCGGTGTCCAGATTCTTATTTATAATAACATGAAGTAAATAAAATAAAAGAAAATTACAATCATGCCCTTGGTGGCACACCCTAATAATAAAAAAATTAAACAAAGAAAAGAGCATGCTGACAGCACCCTAGACTGACAGCACTCTAACAGCAGAAACAAAAGCAACTCCAACAACATAAACATTGTAAAATATGCAAAATAAAGAATGATATTGTATGAAATGATTAAAGAAGCATAGGCACACCTTTTTAAATTATTATTTTGTTCCAAATCATTAAACAAAGCTAAGAAACTAAGGTTATAGAGAAAAGAATATGTTTTGAAGTTGCCTTGTGAACCTTAAAGTGAGCTTCATGATAGAATGAGTTAAAGCAAAATTTAAAATCATAGAAAATGTAAATGGTTGTAATATATAAACCAAATAATCTATTACACAAACAAAAACTAATATTTAACTTCATATTTGAAATGAATATTGAGCTAGCTCAAAGTGGTAAATTGATAATCATGTTAGTTAGTTGGGCAATAACATTGTAACTCCACATATCTACAATATTGTCACCATCTTACGTTATAATACTATCTCTTGTGCTCCACATAGTGCCAGTAGTGTTTACTGGGGAATATGTCGATTCCAGTAAAATTTCATGCTGCAACCCATGGAAGTGGAAATGGAAATATGTTGGGGAAACTATCTCTTGTACTCCACAAAGTGCTGGTAGTGTTCATTGAGGAATATGTTGATTCTGGTAAAATTTCGTGTTGCTACCCATGGAAGGTGTTGGGGAAACTACCTGCCTGACAGGCATCTTTCACCAAAAAAAGGAGCCTTCTTGTTCAGATCTAAACTGCTTCAAGATGACCACAAAACCTGATGCAAATAGACAATTTGGAAGCCCTAAACACTGGTCTTATGAAAGAGAAAGAAGTCATCAAAGAAGAGAGGATTGAACCTGCTCTGATACCATGTTAGAGCAGTTCAAACGTCACAAGCTTGAATCGGGTCTGTTACCTCACACATTCAAAAAGAAAACTTTATATTAATTCAAAAGGAACTATGAAAGGACAAAAATGTCCCTTACAAAAGAGAAGAATGATACAACAAATAAAATAGAAAACTGTACACGGGAAAGAAAATATACAACTGAGATATACAACATAAACATGGTCTCACCACTGAGTCATTCAATTTCTCCAATCTCTCTACAAAAATGACATAATTTATGCCTCCATTTCATTTTTGGCAGGATGGGGAGGGTTGCATATCCTTCTTTGCACCTTACCATCTTTTCTTTCCCTCTCTTCTGGAAATCATATTTTCATGGCAGACCACCAGCACACCTCTGCCACTGAAGAGTAGGTTCTTTGGAAAGGATCAACACTTTGGATCAAAAGTCACCACACAAGAGCAAACTGCCAGTAGACCATCTCTCTTCCTTCTTAGACAAGGTTTAAAATGTTGGTGTCGGTGGAAATATCGATCATCTAAGTATAAGAAACGTGTCAGAAATGTTAGAAGTGTTGTATAGAAATATTATAAAAATTATAGTCATGGTGGAAGCATTGTGAAATATGAAAAAGTATATGGTTTAAAAAAATGCAAAAATATAGAGTGCTATTTTGCATATTGTGAAGTATGCAAAATATAGTTAGACCCTTTTAAATTATTATCTTGTTCCAAATATTTAAAACTACGTGATAAATTGAGTTCAAGCAAAATTTAAACTCATTGAAAGTGCAAACGATTCTAAATTTCTAATAGATCAACCAAATAATTTATTGTATAATAAAAATTAAGATTTAATATCATGTTTGAAAAGAATTTCAAGCTGGCTCAAAGTGGTAATCATGTCCATTAGGTGGCCAATGACACTTCTATTCCACGTATTTACTGATCATTGGCTAGTTTTGATTAATAAGGTGGAACCTAGGAATAGAGGACCTATCCCATTCAGAGTTGAAAGTCAAAATCAAAGAATGGAATATTCTTCAATTTGGGAGGCTTGAGGAAAGAAAACAACAGTTGATGAATCAGATTGAGGAGTTTGGGGAAAGGGACAAGGAGCTTAGGTGGGAGCTGAAGAAAAACTTGGAGGATGTCCTCTTCAAAGAAGAAATTAGCTGGGGACAGATGTCTAGACATAAGTGGGTAAAGGAGGGAGATAGAAACACAAAATTTTTTCATGCTATAGCCAATGTAAGGAGGAAGAAGAAACTTGATCTCCAAGCTAGTGATAAATGATGCAATATTGACTCAGTAGTAAGAGATTGAAGGGGCCTTTGTGGTCCATTTTAAATCAATCTTTGGAAGGCCTATGTTTAGCAGATTACAGATTGAGGGTTTGGAGTGGCCAAGACTCCTGGAAGAGTCAAGGGTGTGGTTAGAGAGAAGCTTTGAATTGGAAGAAATATG